TGCTGGTGGGTTATGCTGGGACCCCACAGGAGGTGGGGGAGGTGCTGAACTGAGCCCTGCCCTCAGGTCCTGCCCAGCCTGCACACGGTGGGGTAGGGGTGACCTCAGAGGTGTCTGACTCAGAGCCCATGTCCTTGCTGCCCGTTCCCCCTGCTGGGGCACCCCCATGCACTCAGCCCCTGGGGACACAGCTGTGCAGAGGAGCCTCCCCCTGCAGCCCACACTCCCCTTCCAGGTGGCCTGTCCTGCCCTCTACTACCCTGGGCCCACCCAGGGCCTGGCTGCCAGAGAGAAGCAGGTTTTCAGCAAATGTCTGGACAGACCATTGAGCCAAGCAGCACTGGGCGGTGAGTGTGCTGGGTGAGGAGGAGGGAGATGGTCGATGAATAATCCCCCAAGAGATGCAGTCCTGCCTTCCTTCCACACACATGCTGAGCACCAGCCGTGTGAGGGGTGGGGGGTGGGGGTGCAGTGAGTGTTGGGAAGGAAAAAGCCCCCATTTCCCATCAAGCCTGCAGGAGCCATTTCTGCACCTGCACCAGCCCTCCAGGTTCAGTCTCAGCCCTCCTGGCCAGGGCTGTCGGGAGGCAGCAGGGTGCTGGCGTCAGGGTGGGGCACACTCAGGGAAAGCCACCCCCCGATGCTGACCTGCGGTGCAGTGGTGTCAGTGCCCTTCCCCAGCCTTGGGTTCATGTCACGGATGCCACTGCCCCGTGTCAGTGTGAATGTCCAAACAGGGACCAGACGGCAGCTACGATGAGCACACCTCAAGTGTCAGCTTTATCCTCCGCACCAGACGGTAAACATGAGCAAGAGTCCTCAGGACCCCTCGGGCCTGACCCTCTGCTATTCACGAGACTGCATCTCTCCCGAGCTTCCGCCCGCATCACCCTGTGGATGCGCGCTCCCCTTCTCACAGCCAGGTGGCTGAGCTGACTGCGGGCCTCAGGAAGGAAGAACGAAGCCTGGCCCCCAGCACGGCCCTTTCTCTTGACCTGCCTGCCTGACTGACAGGAGGGAGTGTACAGGGTCTCCTCGGTGTGACTCTTGACACAACCCGAGAAGACCCTGCCCCCACCGGTGGTCCCTCTTCTGGCAGCCTGTCAAGCAAAGCCACCCACTGGCTGGCCCACCCCTTCCTCATGGACAGCCCCACCCACGGTGGCTCCCCGGGGCCTGGGCCCACGGTGACCCCTGGGCCCTCTCTGGGGGAGGCATCAGATCCCAGGGGCAGAGGACGGCACAGGGCTCCACAGCCTGCCTCCTGCCCTGCAGTGGGGGGCCTGCACTTGGGCATCTCGGTGTCGTCCATGATGACCCCCTGCAGTGTCCAAGAGCAGCAGAAGCAGCGCCAACCCCTATCCCCCACCCCCGAAGTACCACTGGCTGGTCCAGGGCCTGGGCCACCTGCACCCCAACACGTGGAACCTACGGGGGGATGCACGTCTCACATCTGCTACTTCAATGTGACTTTCCAGGCCCAGGTCTTCTGACAGCTTTTCCCTGAGGAGTCTGGGAAGAGTGGGAGCCAACACTGACAGGATTCACCGTGACTTAACTGCCAACGGGATTCCCTGGGGTAGGAGCACCCTGCGGTGCCTCCAATGAGCCCTCTGAGCAGTAGGAGGAGGGATCTCATGACCATCAGGAGCCAGGAGGGGAGCGTGTCCTCTGGCCCCAAGATCCCTGTGCAGGGAGCCTCCTGGATCCGGGTGACAGCTGTACCATCAGAGCAGCAGAACCAGGGGGCAGTGAGGCTGAGGCTTTTGTGCAGGAGGCTGGCTCGCGGAGTGGGTGCCTCTGGGCACTGACTCCAGGGAGCTGGGCTTGCTGGCCCACGGTGTGGAGCTGTAGGGTTGAGGATTCCAGCAAGTGGTACGCGCTTTGGAGATTTATTAACAGACTTGAAACTTTGTAACAAGTTCTGATCAACAATTACCCTGAGCATCTCTCATTCCTTAATAAGCCCGCCAGTCATGAATTCCATCTGTGATTCTGCGTGGCCCTCAACAGAGCCCAAGCAGTAGAGCAGAGAGCAGTAATTACAAGCCCATCACTTGCTTTACACCCCCAGTGTGAGGGTCTTTGTCACAAGAGCTTTTGGGGCCACCTCCACCTCGTGTGCAGCCGGCTCAGGCTCAGGCCACATCCAGGACTGGGGGCAACAGCAACACAGACCCCCCACAGCAAAGCTCGGTCCTCACAGCCAGAATTTAGAGCCCCCTTGAGATGACGGGCCGTGGCGCGGACGCCGCCGATGGCGTCCCCAGCTGCAGTGGACGCTGGGGGCAATGGCAGCCTGTGGGAGCACAGAGGACAGCAGTCCTGGGCGTTCAGCTCTTCTCGGGCCAGCTGTTTGGGGATTCAGGAGGCACAGGCTGAGGAGGCTGCCCTGCTCTCCTGGAAGTCCGGGTGGGGGCCGGCCGCAGCTCCCCAGGCCCATGGGCAAAGGGGCAGTGGGCAGCGGGCAGGGCGCAGCCATCAGGGTGGTGTGCGAAGAACCAGCAAGGACGAGTCTTGAAGGCATCAGTGTCTGGCACCCGCCGGAGTCCTGGCCGCGTCGCCCGTGTGGACAACTCCTCTCGCCAGTCTCGCAGGTGGACACGGCCATCCCGGACTGTAACACAGAGGACACACAGGGGTCAGCCAGCCAGCCAACACAGCTGTCTTCTCAGGCAGGGCAGGGAGGCCCTGTGCAGCTGGGCTCTGAGGTGGAGCAGCTAGGGACACCCACACCGATGCCCCTCCCCCAGCAGGTTGGGTTCCCACAGGGCCAGCCCAGCCAGCTGCACCCAGCCCTCCACCTGCCAGCCACTGGGTGGACCCCTCGTGGGCCGAGTGGAGGAGCAGCGCAGGGACTGTGACCATAGCAAGGGCATGGGGCAGGGAGGTGTGTGCTGGGGCAGGGCAGAGACAGGAGGCTCTGGGGAGCAGTGGGCACCGGGCGGGGGTACCACGGAGGGGGTCCCTAGTCTGGGCCCCCAAGGGACCACGGCTTTCACCAGAAACTCAGCATCTGGTGGGCAGGAAGGACAGCAAATGAGAACCGGAAAGCCTGACCAGGGCTGGACATCAGAGGAAGTGCACGTGCTCATGTGAGTGTGTTCACGTAGTGGCACAACCACAGTTGAAGGTTGAGGGGGCAGAGGGGGCAGGGGCTGAGCTCAGTCTGCAATGGAGAATGTGGGGCGGGCACCCAGGCTCCTCCCACATCTCCACATCAACACCCCTCCACTCCTACTCCTCCCAGAGGATGCCTATGTGAAGCTGGGGGCTGCCCGCTAGGCTCTGGCTCAAGAATATCCAGAATAAAGGCTTCCCAATATAGGCTCACCCCAAAACACCCACACATACTCAAACCCCTAAAACATTCACCTTGCAGAACACCAGTGTCGACTCAAACCCTTAAAACAGGCCCACCCAAACCCACCAGCGCTACACCGACCACGCAGGACAGGCGGGTCTGCCTGGAGCGGCCCACACTGGACCTCTACAGGAGTGACCGCCTGGCTTTCAGCTGAGCAGCGGGTGGGATGGAACCACCCCATGAGCTGGCTGCCAGCCCTGAGCCCAACGCACCACCGGGCCCAGCAGCTGCCCACACTGGTGCTCAAGCACCTCCCCAGAGCAGCAGCTGGAGCTCCGGAATTTGGGGAAGAAGCAGCCACAGGTCAGGGACCCAGAGAGCCTCTCTCACTGTCTCACAGCCACCCATCAGGGACCCTGGGAGCCCCTCAGGGTGGAGGTGGGACAGCTGAAATCACCGCTGAGGAGTAAAGGGGTGACTTCACTCAAGCAAGTCAGCCCCATTGGCAGTCAGCCTGACACAGTGTCACCTGCTGGCTGGTCTCGGTGAGACCTGGGTACACAGGCAGCACCAGAGCAGGCATCCCCTCACCCTAAGGCTTGGGGGCTTAGCCATTCCCCGAGTTGAGTGCCGGCAGGCCCTGCAGGCCCATCTGACCTGGCTCTCAGGGCCTGGGGGAGCAGCAGAGAGAGGCCAGGGCCAGTGCCCGCTGATCAGGTCCCTGTGCCCCTCAAGGAAGTGACTGGGTGGCAAACAGGCCGAGCTGGGAGATAGGCATCCCTCATGGTGCCATTCCCCCAGTGCCAGGGACTGGAGCTGGATGAGGCCACACTCAGGGCCCACACTCAGGTGCACAGAAGGTGCCCGCTCCACAGTGGCATGCACTTGGAGAACAGGGCAGGTGTGCCAGAGCCCTTGGGGCATTGACACCACAGGGCACAGCCGCCCACCAGCTGCCATCCCTCTATGTCACACTGCAGGCACTACCTGCGCCCTGCCCAAACCTCCCTCCACTTCGCCGTGGCTTTAGGGGCGGTGGCCACCTTGCTCTGCAGGGCAGAACTGAGAGAGGGACCGAGACTCTCACAGCCCCAGGGTAACTCTCCCACCACCTCCCCACCCCCCACCCCTGCCTCAGACCTGGCCAGACACAGAGTCCCAGCTCACAGGTGCTCTTGAGCCCCCAGGAGCCCCTCACCTGCAAACACCTGGTGGCGGTTCCGGAGCAGAGTCTGCAGGCCCCCGCACTCCCTCTTCAGTCGCTGCAGTGTCACTCTGTCCAGCTCGCTGGCCACATCCGCCAAGGAGAGGCTCCCTGGTGAGACAGGGTCCCCAAGCGAGGCCATCACAGACAGGCACACTGACCTCCACCCTGGCTCCCAGCTGGGCCCTGGGGCTCATGAGCTTGGTACAAAGAACCACCCGTGACATCTGTCGGGAAGAGGGGGTGGGCTCCTCACTGACCCTGCAGCTTAGAGGAACAAGCAGAGCTGGCACCCAGAGTGGCACTTCCTGGGCAGGAACCACAGGATACTGCCCTGCCCTATCCCCCAATGGCTACCAGGCTCAGCATGGCCCCTGGGAGCCTGAGACACAGCCAACAGGTCCTGTGCCTCTACACCCGGCTCTCAGGTCAGGAAGCTGTGGGGTCTGTGAGATCAGAGGTCCTTGAGGGCCACCTCCCCCAGCCCCAGACAGTCCTCTGTGCCCACAGGAGCCAACCAGGCGCTCAGAGAACAGAGCCCCGCCTGGCTGTGGGAGCTTCACCTCCTGGGTTCCAGGGCTTCCCACTCTGGTCCTGGGAAGCCCCTTCTGGGCATACATGCTTCCTGCCCAGCAGCAGACCGGCCACCTGCAGGACCACCTGGTTGACGAAGTCTCGGGGCAGCGTGCCACAGTTCCGCACGCGTTCAGCACGCTCCCTTGGCTGGAATGCTGGTAGCCAAAGTCCCCGCGCTGCCCCTGCCGCTGGGTCCTCTGGTGCCGTAGGCTGGGCCTCTGTGGCCCGAGTGTCTCTGGACACAGGTTCCAGTTCGGCCCCCATGGCCAGACCCTCTGGTGCTGCAGACTGGGCCTCTGTGGTCTGAGTGTCTCTGGACACAGGAGCGGGATCCTCTGGTGCTGCAGGCTCGGCACTGGCATGCTGGGGACCCGGCTTGTGGTCCTGCAGCGGCCCCCGGGGACCCCCTTGGCTGTGGATGTACTGAGTCCGCTGTGTGTCCACAGCAGCTTCCTGGGCCGCCGGGTAGGTCCTGGATGCCCCGATAAGGCAGACCTGTGTGAGAACGCAACACCACGTCACATCCACAGGTCCAGGCCACACCACTGTCCCTAGGGGTCAATTTGTAGGCAGACTTGCCATGGCCACCACACCGACCCGATGGCCCAGCCTGGCTGGTTCCCACTGGGTCACCTCAGGCAGAGGACATAAGGAGGGCCAGGAGGCTCTGGACAGGGGATACTCCAGATGCAGAGCCCATGGCCATGGTCACAGCATCAGCATGCCACCCGAGGGGTGTGCTGACCCCCCACCACCACCCAGAGAGACCATGAACCTGGGCCGACACTCTACGAAAGCCAGGGCAGGCGGTAGGCGGGCTGCAGAGGCTGTCGGGAGCTCAGCCGGCACTAGGTGATGTCAGCCCTCGGTGATGTCAGCCCGGCGGGGTTGGGAGCCAGGGGGGGAGGCTCCGGGGCTGGGCTTGGGCCCCTCGCGGGGGTCTACGCACCCTTTTGGTGGAGGGGATGCGCAGACAGTCCTCCTCCACGCGGAAGCCGCACACCTGCCCCACCTCCGTGACGAAGTCCAGGTACTCGCGGTACTGCGTCTTCTGGCTCTGCCTCCGCGGGTACTTGCCCACGAAGCCGAAGAAGCAGCAGGGCAGCACGAAGAAGCGGCAGCGGTAGGACGACCTGCGGACGGGCGGGTGCGTCACCGAGGGTAGTCCAGCCAGCTGGAGCAAACATCAGACGCAGCAACACGCAAGACACAGCACGCTGCCCCGGGGGCCTCGGTCCGGCCGCAGCGGCGCAGGCTACGAGCCGTGCGTCTGCAGTGCCCGCCGTCCGGCTCCCCTGCTGAGGGCCAACAGGCCACACCCGTCTCGCTCCACCTCAGCCATGGCGGCCGTCAGCTCCCCGCCACCGCGCCCCTGCCCTGGTCCGCGGGTGGACGCTGCCCTTCCGGCGTCCAGAGGGGCCGCACTGCGGCGGGGAGACTGCCCTCCAGGCCTGCGTGCGGTCGGGCGGAACGCTGACCCGGCTGGCGGCTGCACGGAAAGGACGAGCGACAGCCTCGGGCACCGCAGGCGCCTCCCACCCTGCCTTGAGGGTCGCTGAGTGGGCAGTGACCCAGGCGATCGTACAAACGGACCCTCCCCGCCGCTGCCGGCTCACGGCCGGGGGCTCCAAGGGTGCCGGCAGCAGGGACGGCAGGGCCCCCGTGAGGCAGGGCCCCCGCGCGGGGACGAGCACGCCCGACAGACCGACGCTGCCCCCGGGGCCGAGCACGCACAAGGCACGCAGGCCCACGAGGACGCGCACGCCTGTGAACGGACGCAGGCCCACGGGCCGAGCACGCACGCCCTGACACGGAGAGAGGGGCTGTGCCCGGAAGGGGCTGCTCAGGGCGCCGGTCCTGGAGGGCGGACCCTCCTGTTCCGGGCGCAAGCCCCCACCCCCACCCCCGCGACCTCCCCCCAGCTGAAGCCAACAGCGGCCGGCCGCGCGTCTCCGGGCCTACTGTGGTCACCCCCCCAGGGTGGCCGTGTAACGGCCTGCCCAGACGGCTGGGTCACCCGCCAGGCGCTGCCCGCCTCTCCCTCAGGGAGCGAGGGGGCGTCCCGGCCGCGGACCTCGCCGTGAACCGCCAGCGCCCCCCCCACTGCAGCCCGGGGCGCCTTTAACAAACGCCCTCATGGCGGGTCGGGGGCAGCACCCGCAGCGGCCCGGAGCCTAGCTGCCCTGGAGTGCCCAGGGGCCCTGCGTGGGCAGGGCTCCTCACCTGGCAGCAATGACGGGTATCCAGGGCGTGAGCTCATCGGAATGGTTCCCAATCAGCCAGTCAGCGTCAGGAAAGAGGCTCCTGTCATCTGGCGTGATGGCACCTTCCTGAAAGGGGCCCAAGGAGGACGGTGGGGTGGCACCTTCCTGAGGGGCCAGCAAGGGGGCCCACCCGGGCAGCGAGACCAGCGGACTCACAAGCCCCCGGTGCCGCCCACGAGGGCCCTTCTGGGGGCTCTGACATGCTGCCCTGTGGCCAGCTGCCCTGGGCCCGCCCACCTGAGGGTGCCCAGCTGGGGTCGCACCCTGGCCATCTCTGGGGTCTTGCTCTTAGGTGCTGTCGAGTCGATCCTGAACCCCAGCCACCCTGTGTGCAGAGTAGAACTGTTCCCCAGGGCTTCCAAGGCTGGGACCTCTGGGAACCGCACACCTCTCAGCCCGCAGAACAGGAGGGAGCCCAGGAGCAGTGGCCCGAAGGGTTGCCTGGAACCCGAGGAGGAGTCTTCCGCAGGGAGTGGACAGAGTGGGACAAAAGCTGCGGGGTGTGGCCCCACCCATAATGGAAGACCACTAGCTCAGTGGAGAGGACACCACATACGCCCAACCCCAGGCTCTCCTCTGACAGCCACTGCCGGGTACCCACGGTGCTCCCAAGGCCTGGCTCCAGACCTGAAGCCCTTGCCTCACTGCCCTCACAGCCCCAGCCCCCACTGAAGGGCACACAAGGGGGGGCAGCAGTGACCATGCACCAGGGGAAAGCAGGAGGGGTGGTCAGGGCCCAGCGGTCCATTTGTCAACACGTACAGCCACTGCGACCCCACTGGCGGCCAGCCTGTCAGCCACGCAGACTAAACGCAGCGGCCCTCACCAGCTTCCACTACAAGCCTTCTCAGTGTGGTGCCTTAAAGACTCCTCCCGAGTACAGCCGCACACAAGAGTGGCCATGCTGTGACCACCCCACGTGGCCAGCACCCACCCCGCACCACCCATACCTCCAAGCGTGTCTCAGCTTCGAACATGGCCCAGATGCCTCTCCTGCGGACATCGATGCCACGGCCGGGGTGCTATTGGGGGCAGACTGGAGGTCAGGGCATGTGCAGTCCATCCCGCACACGCCCCACAGCACCGACACCCACAGGAGTGCTCAGCGGCAGCGTGACCCCAGCAGGGATGGGCAGCACAGGGACATGCCCAGGACTGTCCGCAGCAGCCACAGCTGCCTGGCCTGTGTCGTCCTCCCCTTCCCCCCCAGCCCCTGTACCTGACTAGTTCAAGGGCAGCATCCCCACCCTCCTCCCCTGCTGATGCCTCTGCTCCGAGGGACACCTGGCCCTCCATCCCCTGGGCGCCCTACGGGGAAGGCCACCAAGGGCCTGAGGCTCATGAGGCCACGAACCCCCACCCACCACAGCCCAGGAGACCGACAGTCCTGTGTTGGTCTAAGCTAGTGGACACTGAGTGCAGGGCCCCGGGCATCATGTCACCAACCCCCTGGCTGCAAAGGATGTGCGCCAGCAGGCCGTTCCCGCAGCCCAGGTCCACGAAGGACTGCCTCTCAGTCACTCCCAGCCGGGCGCGCTCCTGCTCCCACAGGACCTGCGGGGACAGACGATGGACGGTGGGGGTTGGAAAAGCCAGTGAGTCACCTGCTCGACACGAGCAGAGCTCACATCCCACAGAGGGCAAGGCCACACGCACACCAGCATGCGTCACGCAGTCAACACTTCTGCCTCCTCCTCCCATGGAGTCCCCATGATGGGGCTGCTCGGCGGGACCACCTGTTGCTGTTCCAGTTGCACATTTGCGCACAGAGGTAACGGGCCCAGAGCCCACTGCCAAAACGCCTAGGACAGACTGCCCGTGACACAGGGAAGTGCCCTCGGGAAGACTTCTACCTATGAAAGCTGAGCCTTTAGAGCAGGCCCAGGAAAACAGCGGGGGCCAGGCCCAGATACAGCTGGTGGTCCCACTATGATGCCGAACAAGCCTGCAGTGTCACACCAACTGCCAGGCACACCGCATAGTCAGCCTGCACCTCGGTCCACCCCGCCCTGCAGGCCTGGCTGAGCCTCACCAGCAGGTACGTAGCGATGGCCACATCTTCAAACACAAACTTGGCTGGATCCGTCACTTCGGGCCACACCTGCAAGAGTCGGGCAGACGGCGGACACTGCGGCACTCCCAGCTCTGGCAGCCCCGCAAGCGCACCAGGCACACCAGCCGAGCCCCACGATGAAGCAGACAGAGGAGGAGGAGGAGGAAGGGACGCCAAGGGGCGGGACATGGCACAGGCCAGCTCTGGTGATCACTAGGCCACGTGTGGTCACAGCCAGAAGTGACCGAAGTGCGGATACATACACAAGGATGTACGTGTGAAATTAAGACAATAGGACTACAATATGGAAACGTGTGTGTATGTGTATCTGTGTGTGTGGACACAGGATCAGGTGGCCAACCTGCCCTGTGCCTCCCTGGCAGGATTACTCAGTGCCTCTGAGAACTGCCCAACACAAGCTGTGCAAACATCAGCCCCACCCCGACTGAAACAGGTGATGTGTGGAAAAGGCATTTCCCTCCCACACCCCCCCACCGGACACGTCTGCAGACTGGGCCTAGGGTGAGGGTCAGGCGCACCTGGCTTCTGGCCGCACTTGCGTGAAGTGAAGATGCAGGAGAATGAGCCTCCCTCCATTGTGTGACCATGTTGCCTCGTGAAAGGAGGGCGCGGGGGTCTCCCCAGAATTAACTGACACCCAACCCCCAAGCTAAAGGCCACCGAATCTGTTCTGACCCATGGCAAGGACAGCAGACCTGCCCCCAAGGGTTTCGGAGTCTGGACTCTACAGGAGCCGCTGCCTCCTCCCTGATGCCAGCAGCTCACACACAGGTTCAGATAACTGATGTTTCCTATAGTGGCCCAGCACTTAAGCCACTGCACCACCAGGCTCTGCAGCATTACCTTGACCATGGGCCGGTACTTCTCTTTGAGCTCCTCATAGACCTGGCTGTACCGGGCGATGGGGACCAGGGAGAGGGTGCTCTTAAAGCCGCTCGGCCGATTCCCCACTGCCCACCGGGCCAGTCTAGCCAGCAAGATTTCTCCAAGCCAGGTGGGTGTGGGGTGAACAACCCCATCAGCGTGCCAGTGCTCTGGACAGACAATCGAAACAGACATGAACCTTTGGGAACAAGAGAGAGGTATATGAGCAGCACTGGTCAAAGTTCTCCACTGACCTGTCCCCCTCCCAATGACCCAGGGTCTCCCAGCATGTACGCAACAGCCTACTGAGCTCCAGAGAAGCGAGCGTGGGCTGCTCGGCCTCCTTACCACTCCTGCTGGCTGCGGCTGAGCCGGATCTGATAGACGTTGCTCGTCTGAATCCTGACGCTCCTGTCGGCGTCTTCTTCCAGTGGTAAGAACGTCACAGTCCCGCCGAGGACATCTGGGGAGGAAGAGGAGGCTGCTGACTGCCCGTCAGCATCGCTCCTCAGTCACGTGTGGGCACGGCCCACCACCCTCCTCCCATTCTGCCATGCACTCTGGGCTCTGCCCACTCCTGCATCCCAGCACCCAGACTGCAAGGGGCAGGAGATGAGCTGCCTAGAGGCGCTGACTGGGTGGGTGGCAGGACATGAACGGCCTAGCAGGCCCTGGGCGAGGCATGGGATCTGCTGGTCAGACCTCGGGGCATCAGTGAGGTGGGGATGGCAGGCTGGAGACCTGTAGCTAGAGGTTAGGAGAACCTCTGCCCCAGCCTGAGTCCAGACGTCCCTGTCCCAGCCTGCTAGTACCACAGGGAGGGGCCACAAAGTCTCTGGGTTCCCAAGACCAGTTCAGGCAGCACGCATCCTCGATGGTGCTCCTGCCTGGGGTTTTGCCCCCTGTAGCCCCGCTGCCAGCACTGTGCTCGCCCCATGGAAAACCATTGGGAGACGAGGTCCTATGAGAAGAGCTTGCGCAGGCCATAATGGAAGAGGCCGCTTCCTCTTCCACTTTCAACAACCGCACTGGCTTTACCCCTTCCAGATGCAAGGATCCCATCCTTACCCCAGGCCCTCAGGCATGCTGGTGCCTCAGTCAGGGATACCAAGCACTGACTGGTCACTGGACTGCCTGGGGGGGGGGGCACCCGTGGCCAGACAGCCACCCTGGCTGTCCCTGCGGGCTACGACATTCCCTCTGCAGCCCGTGCTGCACAGGAACTGGGGTCTGCACTAACCCATGAAGCTCAACGCTACAACATACCTGGCCTGTTTACTGTCTCTGTGAAGACTGCCAAGAGACATGGGCACAGAGGGCAACATAGAGCGACTTGTGCCTGGAGAACTCGGCCCAAGGCTGGGCCCACAGGCAAAGGGCGAAGCAAGCACCGCTGTGAGCCGATTTGCCACATCCTGCAAAAGCAGGCGCCAGTCTGGCAGGGCCGGGATTCCCTGTGATCTAACTAGCCTCCGTTTTTGTTGTGATCGTCCTGAGCGCTCACGCCTCACCTCCATGACGTTCCATCTCACCTGGGTCCACAGGCAAGGCCCACAGAAGCAGCAGGCAAGAAAATGGATGATCTCCCTACCACACGGAGCAGACCTGCTGCCCAGACTGCTTTAGGGGGGGCATTAAAAGAGCAAAGACGTCACCTGACCCAAGTACATTCAGTCACCTCCCGTGCACATGAACACTGGTGATGGATTGGGAAGAAAGATGTGTAGCAGTTAGGGGGCTGGGGAGGGGTACTGAACACCAGGTGCTGTCAAACAAACAGGCCTGCCTCGGAGGAAGTCCAGCCGGAGCGCTCCTTAGAGGCCAGGATGGCGAGACTTCCTCTCATACTATGGACACGTTGTCAGGAGAGACCAGTCCCGGAGAAGGACATCATGCTTGACAAGGTGGAGGGACGGTCAAAGAGGAAGGGCCTCCAGGAGATGGGGTGACAGGTGGCTGTAGCAAAGAGCCCGAGCCCAGGGGCAATTGTGAGGATGGTGCAGGACCGGGCAGTGTTTAGGTCTGTTGTGCTATGGCAGCTACCAGAACAATTGGTGTACTGGTTAAGGGCTCTGGCTGCTCACCCCCAGGCCAACAGAGCCTGAAGCTGCCCCGTGGGAGAATGGCGTGGCACTCCTCTGTTGAGGAGACTACGTGGTCAGTTTGGCAGGATTGCTGGGTCAGCACCAGCTGGACAGTACCAGGAGGTGCAGCCCTACTTTCACTGTGTCCACCTGGCAATCATTAACCAGCTCGCTCTTTAATCCACTTGCCACAGGTACAGCTCCCATCTGGTCAGCTCTTGGTGGTGCTGGCCCCGCCCCTCCTGCAGTGATGACCCCATGACTGTGTAGATGAGAGACTGTGTCCTGCGTTTTCATGGGCTGGTTTCCAGACACTAATGGTCACGCCTGTTTTCCTAGTCAGTCTTCATCTGGAAGCTGTGCTAAAACCTGCCCAGCACCCCACAAGCCTCCTCGGACAGACAGGTGACAGCTGCATAGGAGGTGCCTGCCTGTGGAGAGTGAGGAGTCTGCCACTAGACCACCACTGTCCTCACTCACCGGCCTGTGGAATTCTTAGTGTCCAGGGCATTTTCAGTCATCTCATAGGCATGTGAAAGCTGGACACTGAATAATGAGACTGAAGAAGAATGTTGCGTTTGAATTGTAGTGCTGGAGAATATTGAGTCAACCATGGACTGTCACAAGCAAACACATGTCTTGGAATAAGTACGACCAGAATACTCCCTAGAGGCCAGGATGGTAAAACTTTGTTTCACATGCATGGGCATGTTGCCAGAAGGGACCAGTCCCTGCAGGAGGGGCATCGAGAGGAAGGCCCTCGGGCATGGATGGACACAGTGACCACAACAATGGGCTCAGGCAGAGGAACAATTGTGAGGATCGTGCAGGACTGGGCAGTGTTTGTATCTTTCTTTGTGTAGGGGCTCTATGGGTTGTGACCCACCGGATGGCACCTAACAACGACTTTCAACGTCCAGTGCCCCCTTTCCTTCACCTTCTTCCCAAAGCCTTCCAGTCAACAGCGCACTCCCATCCATCGGCAGGGAAAGCATGGGAAGCAGCCTAGGCACAAAGGGCCGCACAGGCTGCAACACCTTCTGTCTTTTCCGGCCCGAGGCTCAGGGGCCACTGTGCATCCACCGCAGTGACTGCGACCACACAGGCTCTGACCTTGCACGACCACTTCCTTCCGCGGGCCGCTGCGCGGGCACTGGGGCCTGGCTTTCGGGATGACGGTTCTGAGCAGCACGTCGAGGTGGCGAAGCGCGTCCGGCGGCGGCCGGGCCTCGGAGCGGGCGAGGAAGCCTCGCAAGGCCCCGTCGCCGAGGCTCTGCGACAGGTGGGCCCAGAGTGATTCCAGCTCGGCGGCGCCCTCCCCGGCAGCGGCCCGGGGTCTAGGGTCCAGGGCCCCGCGGCCGTCCAGGTGGGCCTCCAGGCGGGCGTCCAGGCGGGCCCCGCACAGCCGCTTATTGACCACCTGTGGCCTCTCCAGCCACACGGCCACGGCGGCCCAGAAGCCCCCCGGGAGCAGCGCGCCGGGGTCGCGCACCGCCGTCCAACCCACCTCCGCCATGGCCGTCAGCGCCGAAGCCCGGCGTGGGCGCGGAGCGATGACGCAGCCCGGCGTGGGCGCGGAGCGATGACGCAGCCCGGCGCGCCGGAGTCGCTGCGCTCTGACGTCACGGTCGTGTCACCAACCCGCGGCGGCGGAGCCCGTCAAGCCGTGTGCTTTCGGACTTGGGAACTCGCAGCGACGGCCGGGGTGAGTAGGCGGGCGGGTGGGCTGCGCGGCCTCTCGGGTGCCGGTGCGCAGGCGCGCGTGCCCTGCGGGGAGATGGCCTGAGGCGGACGCGAGGCTCTGGACGCAGAGCGGGCGCTGCGGGAAGTGGGGCAGGGGGCCCGGAAGAGGGACCAGGCCCCGCTGCCGCAGGGAGTCCACCCAGAATGCCCCTTAGAAGCGAGCCTGTCTCACATACTATGGACGTGTTAACGACAGGGACCAGCCCCGAGGGAGGGACTTCCGTTGTTGCGGGTTCGAATAAATGACAGCCACTGTAATGGCTTGGTAATTTAGAAGTCTTTATTCGGTTATAACCGGACTGCTATCTAAAAGCGATTCTTTGGTTGCAGCCCGAGTCCACATTTCAGGCCATCTTTTAAAGGAGAAAACGTATTTTATCCGTTGCCTAAGACTTAAGCAATCATGGACAGAAGCAGAAAGCAAAACTAATGTGACTATTGTTTAAGGTTAGGGAGCGTTACAGGGCACAGCATTGATTTTAACATTCTGGTAACTTCAAGAAAATCAAGCATGTATTACAAGGTACGTTTCCTAATCCTAAAAGAAACAAGACCAAAATGGACTCTCACATGCTGGTTACTACCACAAGATGACACCGTTCAGATGACAGCATCAAAAGAACAACACTGAATCAGAACAAGCGGCATATTGAAGAATAGTCTCAACTAACTGTAGTGTCCAGAACCTGGGGACATGGAGGCCATTCTGAAATGCATCACCAGCAGAGACTTTCCTCCATCGGGCGGGGGTCCCCGTGGCCAGACAGCCACCCTGGCTGTCCCTGC